TCACAATCACTGCAGGTGTGAAAGCCCATTAGCACTTTGTGTGTGTGGTGCTGGTGGTGACTGGTAACATTTCAGTGGTCGCCTCTATCCAGAGGAACCGCAATGAATATCCATGACTGAAAGAATGGGAATGTATGGAAGCTAATGTGAGAAACATGCATGCTGGAAAATCAAATCTCTATCTGGAATCATTCTAATTTTATTGGGAGCACTTGAGATGCACCTGATTAGAAAGAAAGCAAATTTGCTTAAAGGTATATAAGGTTCAAGGACGCGGGTGGCGCTGTGGGTTAAACCACAGAGCCTAGGACTTGCCGATCAGAAGGTTGGCGGTTCAAATCCCCATTATGGGGTGAGCTCCCATTGCTCGTTCCCTGCTCATGCCAACCTAGCAGTTCGAAAGCACCTCAAAGTGCAAGTAGATAAATAGGTACCGCTCCAGCGGGAAGGTAAACGGTTTTCCATGCGCTGCTCTGGTTCGCCAGAAGCGGCTTAGTCATGCTGGCCACATGACCCGGAAGCTGTACGCCGGCTCCCTCGGCCAATAAAGCGAGATGAGCGCCGCAACCCCAGAGTCGGTCACGACTGGACCTAATGGTCAGGGGTCCCTTTACCTTTACCTACATAAGGTTCAAAGGAGTAGAGAGCCAGATGCTTTTAACGAAATCTCCCATCAGTCCCAGCCAGCGTGACCAAAGATCAGATATGATAAGTTGTAGTCCAAAACATCTGCTGAACATCAGGTTAGTGAAAGCTGCAACACTAACTTCCAAGTGTGTTCCTTCCTGCATCTATTTAATGATTAAAGCAGTCATAGGGAAGGTGCTTTCCCCCCCAGTTTAAGTTACAGTGGTACCTCAGGTTAAGTACTTAATTCGTTCCAGAGGTCCGTTCTTAACCTGAAACTGTTCTTAACCTCAAGCACCACTTTAGCTAATGGGGCCTCCCGCTGCCACCACACTGCCAGAGCACGATTTCTGTTCTCATCCTGAAGCAAAGTTCTTAACCCAAGGTACTATTTCTGGGTTAGCGGAGTCTGTAACCTGAAGCGTATGTAACCTGAAGCGTATGTAACCCAAGGTACCACTGTACTCTCATCTGCTGTGAACCTGAAGGTGCGAAAACACAGGTACACTAGTGCCTCGCAAGATGAAATTAATTCGTTCCGCAAGTTTTTCGTTTTCTTCTTGCGAGTTTTTCGTCTTGCGAAGCACGGTTTCCCATAGGAATGCATTGAAAATCAATCAATGCGTTCCTATGGAAACCGCCTTCAGACCAGGTCCGGGGACAGTCTGTCCCCCGACCTCTTCTGAAGGCTGGGGGGGGTGCGGACAAGGGCTTTTCTTCCCACCCCCAGCATTTTAAAAAACCCCCGGGACAGCGGAGACTTCTCCGCTGTCCGGGGCGATCTTAAAATGCTGGCGGGCGGCAGCGAAGCCTTCGCTGCCGCCCGCCAGCATTTTAAAATCGCCCCGGGACAGCGGAGGACTTCTCCGCTGTCCCGGGGCGATTTAAAAGCCCCCAGGAAGGCAGGCAGGGGGGAGCAAAGACTTTTGCCCTCCGCCGGCCTTCAGAAGAGGTCCTGGACCTCTTCTGAAGGCCGGTGGGGGGCGAAAGTCTTTGCTCCCCCCCGCCTGCCTTCAAAAGCCGTCCGGGATAGCGGAGAAACGAAGGCTGGCGGTGGGAGGAGGTCTCTCCGCCCGCTGCCAGCCTTCGGAGGAGGTCCGAGGACAGTGGGGAAGACGCGCTGCGCTTCCCCGCTGTCCCGGAGATTTCCCTATGGGCTTTCGTCTTGCGAAGGAAGCCCATAGGGAAATTCGTTTTGCGAAGCGCCTCCAAAACGGAAAACCCTTTTGTCTAGCGGGTTTTCCGTCTTGCGAGGCGTTCGTCTTGCGGGGCACCACTGTACCTGGCTTTGGATGCAATTCAGCACGTACTATTTAAAATAGTAAGTGCATAAATTTTATGAAAGAAAATAAATGAAAACAAATATTCAGAGCATCTTCACTTAACACTTAAAAGCAGCTTTGAGTATTTCTCATTATGCCATCTGTGTGCACGTATGGGTGGTGTTAAAATAGGACAGAAAGCCAAAAAGAAAGAAAGAGCCATTTTCAAATTAGAACATGCATTCCGGCCAATGACAGGCTGATGCTGGTATTAAAGATATGGTTCATACAAAACCCAGTTTGGACAGCACTTGTGAAAACAGCTCCAATCTTGCCTCCATATAATTTAAAATCCATTATTCCTTGCGTTTTCCTCAGTGAATAGGTTGAATCATCATTCCCTCACTTTGTCAGAAACCCTTTAGGATGCCTGAGGAAACTGTCAGCATATCCCTTCCCCCATCATTCAGTTTACTTTATTTTGGGTTAAACGCCAAACACCTTCAGCCACTGACTTCTCACTTCTGAAAAAAGTGTACATCTTTGCATCTCTCTTCCAAATCCTTTTCCAGCCTGTGAACACATTCTGCTGGAAATCTAGTGTCCAGATCTGAACACCGAAAGGAGGTCTTTATTTCCTAAGACTTGGAACAAAGTCGTCACCCCAAAGGCAAATTAAAACCTCAAAAGTGCAGGCCCTTTTAGGTTTCAGCCTCAACCCAAAGGGGCTATTTTATTTTCCTCTCACCCCACCCTCTTCCTCCATCCACTCACTAACCAACTCCCTCCCCATTATATACCAATAAACATTTGAAAAAGAAAACAAAGTCTCCATTTCACACCATGAATAATTAGCCCCATAAAATGCACTAGTCAGAAATAAATACCGATTCAAAGGAAACATGCCTTAGAATTCCCCTGGAAACGAACAGCTGATACAAGGGAGTCTGACAGTGTTAAACTTCTATTATCGTTTCCCTTTCGCCTCTGCACAAACAGGTAATACATACATATACCCATAAGACACCATAATCTGCGAGTTCACTGCCCCTCGTCCCAGGAATATCCTTTAACAAAACCCCTTTGGGTCACTGCTAACCCAGAGGGAGCTGCCCAGAGTGGCTAGAGCAACCCAGTCAGATGGGTGGCATACAATTAAAATTAATAATTAATAATAATTAATAATAATAATAATAATAATAATAATAATAATAATATCAATCCAGCAAGTTAAGTTCTTTGGCATGTCCACACTATAAATGGGGTTCAACTGTCACAGATTTCTCTCATTTCTAGGACTGCCATAGAAACAGAAAAATCCGGGGGGGGGGAATCTATTAAAAACAGGATATCTGGTTGTGGCAGCCCTCATACATTACAATAGATCAAATATGTCAATATAAATACAGCTTTTACATTCCATGTGCTGAAGACCACAGCAGGGGCCCAGCATAATGTGTATACAAACGTTTTTGAAGCTTTATTTGCTTGAACAACAGGAAGGCAGGATAATTTTGTTGTTGCTGCTGTTGAAAGACAAAACCTTATCAGAAAATACCCCAATGCAAAATCCAGAGAGACAGCAGATAAACTGCTGTGACCAAACCGAATTGTCATCCTTGATAATGTTTGGTGGGAAAAGGGGTAATCTGCCCAAAAGGACGGAGGACAAACTCTCAAATGTATCTTACGCCCAACGACGCTGTTCTCCTCTGATGGTCCACTGGCGCCATTTTCTCTTCTCCCTAGCTGTGTGATACCAGCAAATCAGGGATCCTGTAGCGAGCCAGATGATGTCACACTGCTAATGTAGTCAATCAAATATGGCTATATAGCATCACTGAGGGCAAAGAAAGCCATATTACCTTCTGGTTTCGCCAGAAGCGGCTTAGTCATGACCCAGAAAAACTGTCTGAGGACAAACGCCAGCTCCCTCGGCCTGTAAAGCAAGATGAGCGCTGCAACCCCAGTCATTCGCAACTGGACTTAACTGTCAGGAGTCCTTTACCTGTACCTTTTAAGGGTGTCTTAATGCGCTGCGGAGGTGCCATCCTCACAAGGAGGGACCAGAAGATGGAGGAGCATCTCCAAGTTACTGAGGGAACAAAGGGATGTGTGATCTTCCTCCTACCATTTCATTTGGGGGGACACTCCCCTCCAAAGCACTGCTGAAAGGGGGTTCGTGTTTTACACCACACAAAACACTTCAACTCTAATTAACAACACGTGAAAACTAAATAAATAAAAAACCTCTTATTGTTTAAACTTACATTGAACACACACTCAAATCCAGGGGTCAGCAAACTTTTTCAGCAGGGGGCCAGTCCACTGTCCCTCAGACCTTGTCGGGGGGCAGACTATATTTTGTAGAAAAGAAAAAGAAAAAACCACGAATTCCTATGCCCCACAAATAACCCAGAGATGCATTTTAAATAAAACGCTGTATTGTTTCTGATATTTGGTTGGAAGCTGCCCAGAGTGGCTGGGGAGACCCAGTCAGATGGGCTGGATTGAAATAAATTATTATTATTATTATTATTATTATTATTATTATTATTATTATACTAAAAACACCAGGCAGGCCCCACAAATAACCCAGAGATGCATTTTAAATAAAAGGACACAATCTACTCAAGTAAAAACACACTAATTCTCGGACTGTCCACGGGCCGGATTTAGAAGGCTATGGGGCCGGATCCGGCCCCTGGGCCTTAGGTTGCCTAGCCATGCTCAAATCACTTAACCTGCTCCGAACTGCCCCAAAATTCTGCTAATCACTGCCTCCTCGTTGGTGAAATTACCTCAAGAAAGCTCATTATTTGCTCATGTACCTTCGAACTATGTTTTCACAAGAGACACTGTAAAGTACCCTTGATTAGGGGCGTCAGAGACTTTTGACAGAAACGGGAGCAGAAGCTGTTCACTTATTTGTCCCATGTCTGGAATGGAAATCAGTCCAGCGAACAAAATTGGGATTCACTGCTGCTGCTGCTGTTTTCTGTCTGCAAACAATACATAATTGATGGGTGTTTTCGTTTTGTTTTTAAAACCCATTTGGATTGTGTTTCCTCTGCACGGAAACGAATGGTGTGGAATAATGAAATGACTTACACGATTAATCGCGTAAAATTCCACAACAGCAGGATGAACAACGTAGTTTTTGTCAGAAGCTGAACGGCAGCAGGCCGGAAAAGGTGCTGCGTGAGGTGAACATGGGGCAGAACAGAAATCAGCGACTTCTTTGGTTCTCTTGAATATTGTGTAAATGTTTAAGGGGGGGGGGAGCGGCACAGGACTTTGAAACGAAAAACACTCTGGAAGCGAGGACTGCTTCCGTCATAGGCTGAACAAGATCCAGCCGCTCAGCCCCACTCTCTCGCCTCAGAGGACCCGTTGCCTGCCAACTGCTGTTAAAGGAAGATGGCTTCCATCACAGGCCAAGTAAGATCCAGCCACTTAGGCCCACTCCTTTCCTTCAGAGAACTTTGGAGGGAGCAGGCGCTTGGCATGACACAAAGGAAGAACAAAGACCAAGAATAACAACCCTGGCTTCATATGCACAGCATTTTATTGCGCGGACAAGAGGAGACCCCCCCCCAACCCTGGGCGACACCTGCGTGGAATAATGACTCAAGACAACGTGTTGTGGGATTAAAATTTGGCCACAACTTTATAAAAGATGTAGGGAGACCTTGGCTTAGGCATTGGGCGTTTATGCCTCCCAGTCCCCAGCCGGGGATCTGGGGAACATCAGGGTTATCCAGGATATGTGGGGATTGGGCTGGCTCTGGAGAACATCTATTCAAGCAGAGAGCCTGCCCCCCATTTCGCCACCATCGCAGGGGGGGGGGGGAGAATCTTTTGCAAGGCATTTTGAGAGCCACTCAGGGCTATTAAGTGGCACAGAAGTATTTGAATAAATGAAAAGTGTCAGGGACCGCGAGTCTTGAGCCCAGCCTACTGAGCTGCTCACAGAAAACCTTTTGAAGCACAGAACGGAGTAGGACTGTACAACGCAAGGCCTCCAAAACTGCACATGGCTGCCTGAGATCACTACGCTGGCCAAGCCTGGTACAAATAACCCCCAAAACCCTTTAAAAGCAACAATCCCAAAGCTGCTTTCTAACCCTGCCTGGTGAATAGGACACTACCTTCTGCATTTTGCATTTCAGGCTGAAAACCAAGCCGCACCTCAATTGTACACAGCTCCAGAAACAGGGACCCCGACTTGGAAAATCCCCAAGTCAGTACATATTTCCAGGGCCATGTTTCTAGCCTGGCCCAGTCTATACACACAGTATGCACATTTGGGTTCATGGAGGCTTTATAACTGGACTATGGCAAAAGAACAATTTTAACCCATGTGTTTGTATCAGTTTGTTCAGACCTGGGTCTGTCCCAATCACATACAAAGAAGCTTTTATCATTTGATATTTTGGTGCGTTCCTTTGTACTGTACTTTGTTGGAAGCTGCCCAGAGTGATGGGGCAACCCAGTCAGATGGGTGGGGTACAAGAACTAAATTATTATCATTATTATTAATAATAATCATCATAGGGTTGGTCCATTTCAACAAATGGCTCTACCTCTGCTTAAAAGGAACACTAACCTCCACTGTTGAACAAGGATTAAAATATATACACTGAAACCTGTCATAATCCTCGCCTACATCAAAGGTAAAAGAAAAAAGAAAAACCACATTCCCAACGTAGATTCAGTAAGCAATTTTAGATTCATTTGTTTGTCTCGTGTGTTTGGCTGTTTATCTTTAACAGAGATTCAGATTGCTGGAAAGTGGCATAAAGAAGAACGAAGAGAGCTGCTTGTGAACCTAGCAAATGTGTACATGTATTAAAATGACGGGTGTTTTTTATTGTTGTTGCTTTTAAGTTTAAAAGCTCGGCTGCAAAAAAAAAAGGGGAGGGAGTTAAATGTGTCAGATGAAAAGGTTTTTAACTAAGGCCTCACTGCTCAAGATTGGTACAGTACACAGAGCAAGCAGCAGTCTCTTCACTTGATGGCTTTTTGCTGCTGTGGCACACTATCACTTGCTGACCGCGTGTTGTGTAATACAGTGCACTTCCTCCTCCAAAATTAGTCTAGAATCCTTGCCACACAGCAGTTATTACAGTGGGAGGCCGCTTATTAGTGGATGTCCTCACCCCATGCTTTTGAGGTATGACAAAAGGGGGGGGGGATATAAAATACAGTGGTATCTCGGGTTAAATACGCTTCAGGTTACATATGCTTCCGGTTACAGACCCTGCTAACCCAGAAATATTGCTTCAGGTTAAGAACTTTGCTTCAGGATGAGAACAGAAATCGTGCTCCGGCGGCGCGGCAGCAGCGGGAGGCCCCATTAGCTAAAGTGGTGCTTCAGGTTAAGAACAGTTTCAGTTTAAGAATGACCCTCCGGAACGAATTAAGTACTTAACCCGAGGTACCACTGTACTCTGTGGTACTTCATGAGATGCAGCAATACAGTTGCACAAGGCAAGCAGCACCTCAAGGGATGGGCACATGCCTGCCTCTTTACGATCCTCGACTTCAGTTTGGAGGAAGAGTAGATTTGCGGTCAGAAACACAGGCCCGAAAATGGGACTGTATGTACTTTCAAGTGCAGTTTGCATTCTGCAAATATAGACACATGTCTGGCTCACCATTCAATGCCTGCCATATGAAGATGCATGCTCCACATCCTTTTACAGACATTACGGATTTAGGGCGGTGCAAGCAATTCCCCCCCCCCCAAAAAAAGTGACGAGATGAGGCAGAGCAAAACAACAACAACAACTTATATTTATTTGGGTACCTACTGAGGAGCTCCATAAAAAAAGCAACTATGAATTAAAGTTTAAACAGAATTAAAGTGAAAATAAGAAATTGGGGGGGGGGTGCAAAATGTTATCCCCGCTCAAGGTGACGTGTTATCAAGTCCACACACACCCGTCCCCACTCCAATCCTTATTCAGGTGTGGCATTCTGTTCTTTACGTCACTTGCAATCTGGGGACCAACGTTAATATTAGGAGATGAATTTCATGTTCAAAGTTTGTATGCAACTAGAGAGACGCGGGTGGCCCTGTGGGTTAAACCACAGAGCCTAGGACTTGCTGATCAGAAGGTCGGCGGTTCGAATCCCCGTGACGGGGTGAGCTCCTGTTGCTCGGTCCCTGCTCCTGCCAACCTAGCAGTTCGAAAGCACGTCAAAGTGCAAGTAGATAAATAGGTACCGCTCCAGCAGGAAGGTAAAAAAAGCGAGAAGCGACTTATTCATGCTGGCCATATGACCCGGAAGCTGTACGCCGGCTCCCTCGGCCAATAAAGCGAGATGAGCGCCGCAACCCCAGAGTTGGACACGACTGGACCTAATGGTCAGGGGTCCCTTTACCTTTACATATGTCCACAAGGACAGCCTTGTTCTTCCTGCAGCTGCTATGGGCTAAACCTCTTGTGATAAAAAGGCCCTCAGCTGTGGGGAAATGGGTTGTTGTTGCTGAGAGGATCCTGCCTTTAGGTGGGCACTCAGATTGGATAACATTTGAGGCCATTTCCTCCTTTGATTCCTTGACAAACAGCTTGAGGGCATATTACCGGTTCTGGTTATTACGCCTCCCGGCAGACTTCCAAGAAGTTTCTGAAACATACAGGCGTTCTTTATGACCATTTGTGGGCCATGTAAAGAAGTTCTTATTTGTCCTCACCAGTGCAAATTGACATTTCTCAAGATCATGGACATACCTGTAATTCTTGACAGCGGATAAAGAAATTGCAATTGCTGCTTGAGCAGCAGTCTTTGTATGTTTCAATCAGTCTAAAATTATGGCAACACAGTGCCTGGCCAGCTCCTCTGCACCGTTCCAGAGTTGTACATTCTGTTTGTTTTGTACGATTCAAGCCTTCCTTCCAGGTTCTGAGCAAAGAAATACAGTAAGATGTTTCTAACTCAGGGAAGGGTGTGGAGGAGGAACACCAAGGGCTACTTCACTCATATAAAATCACAGCTTGCGGGAAAGAGGTAGGCAAACTTTCAAAAATGTACTCAAACACAAGACAGCAACTTAAAAGGCATGCCCTGTCTCAATGCCTGGATTGTGTACTGCAAAAGGCTGAGACCAGGGAACAGCTTGTTTTGAGTATAAAATGGGTACCAAACCGAAAAAGTTTAAGAAGGGTGGGGACAAATTCCAGGAAGGACTTTGCTGACATAGGAGCTGAAAGACATCTCTTTTTTTTAATTGCAGACTTTGCTGAGAGCCTAGCAACACTAAGTAATGGCTCCGTTTATGGAAGTGTGCAAACTTTATAATGATCTTGTTTTCAACTATAACACCTATCATAGCTGTCACAGGCAAACAGTACAGGCCGTTCAGTGTCAGCTTCTGAAAGGACAACTGTTCAGCTCTTGGGGAGAGAGGGAGGAGAGAGAGAGAGAGAGAGAGAGAGAGAGAGAGAGAACACCTGCATATACCATTGCAATAGATTAAAGCAAGCAAATATATGTGCCTCAATGATCCCCGCAAGTAGTTTTCATTTTTTGATAAGAAGAAGCTGGGACCCTCGACTGCTCTTGTCTCACAGCTGGTTTCTATCAAAGGAGGCGTTCGGGAATAAAAACCCCCTCTTGTTTACCATAATCATTTATTGAGTGTGTCCAGCGCATCAAAGTAACATGCCAAATTGTCTGGAACAGCACCTACATCTCTGAATTCAAGTGCGGTTGCTTCTATCCCTGGTAGATATTTGCATATGTGTCGCTCTCCGCATACCCTCCGTCTCCTTGGTCTGCCCATCATTTCCCCATAATCACAGCATTATCTGTTTTTCTCTCCACTGTATGTCTTGTCCCACACCTCTCTCCCATGTGAATAGCAAGTGCTGTCAAATTTTTCCCTTTCTCTCTCACTCACACACCTCTGTTAAGTGCCGTGACCAGGTATCTTTAAAGTAGAGATGAGAGAAATGCCCCTGAGGAATTTCACTGGTGTTATCAAAACTTTTACAGCGTCTCTTGAAATTCACTGCTGGTCTAGTTGCTAATAGCATATTCATTCTCTCTCTCTCTCTCTCTCTCTCTCTCTCTGTGGGGGGGGGGGAGAGATACACTACCTCAATTTTCACAGACAGCTGGAAAAATGTATGCAGGAATTTTGTACTTCTGTGCTGTATATTTTCTTTTCAACCTGCAAATTTCACTTCAGATCCATGGGTAAGGTTTCTAAGCATGCGCACGCACGCACACACACACACACACACAAAACACACACTGCACACCACTCCTCAAATAGTCCATTCCATGTCCTTTTAAAGGGAATATAAAACCACCGCAAGCGCTAATCTACATTGCATAAGTAGCCAAATTAATTGAATAATGTATCTGAAGACACAAGGGGACGGCTGATCTCTTCTGTTTGCAGATTATTTCTCTTGGTTCCCCACTTCCGATCACTGAGCTTAATTTGCCAAAGGCGTAATTACTTTATGGGCACAAAAACTATAAACGTTATGGACCAGCTGCCAAGGCTCTCAAACAGCGCACTCTCATGAGATTCTAACAGGAAGCCCAGCCTGAAGGATCTCTTCAGCGCTGCACTCAGAGCACGACTATGGGGCTGAAGTCCAGGGCCCCCACCCAGC